ACCACTGTCTGACAACACTGACCACTGTCTGACAACACTGACCACTGTCTGACAACACTGACCACTGACAACACTGACCACTGTCTGACAACACTGACCACTGTCTGACAACACTGGCCACTGTCTGACAACACTGACCACTGTCTGACAACACTGACCACTGCCTGACAACACTGACCACTGTCTCGCAACACTGACCACTGTCTGACAACACTGACCACTGTCTGACAACACTGACCACTGTCTGACAACACTGACCACTGTCTGACAACACTGACCACTGTCTGACAATACTGACCACTGTCTCATAACACTGACCACTATGTGGCAACACTGACAACTGTCTGACAACACTGACCACTGTCTGACAACACTGACAACTGTCAGACAACACTGATCACTGTCTGACAACACTGACCACTGTCTCGCAACACTGGCCACTGTCTGACAACACTGGCCACTGTCTGACAACACTGGCCACTGTCTCACAACACTGGCCACTGTCTGACAAAACTGACCACTGTCTGACAACACTGACAACTGTATGACTACACTGACCACTGTCTCACAACACTGACCACTGTCTGACAACACTGACCACTGTCTCACAACACTGGCCACTGTCTGACAGCACTGACAACTGTCTGACAACACTGACAACTGTCTCTCAACACTGACCACTGTCGGACAACACTGGCCACTGTCTGACAACACTGACCACTGTCTCGCAACACTGACCACTGTCTAACAACACTGACCACTGTCTGACAACACTGACCACTGTCTGACAACACTGGCCACTGTCTGACAACACTGACAACTGTCTGACAACACTGACAACTGTCTGACAACACTGACCACTGTCTCGCAACACTGACCACTGTCTGACAACACTGACCACTGTCTAACAACACTGACCACTGTCTGACAACACCGACAACTGTCTGACAACACTGACCACTGTCTCGCAACACTGACCACTGTCTGACAACACTGACCAGTGTCTGACAACACTGACAACTGTCTGACAACACTGACCACTGTCTCGCAACACTGACCACTGTCTAACAATACTGACCACTGTCTGACAACACTGATCACTGTCTGACAACACTGGCCATTGTCTGACAACACTGACCACTGTCTCGCAACACTGACCACTGTCTAACAATAATGACCACTGTCTGACTACACTGACCACTGTCTCCCAACACTGACCACTGTCTCACAACACTGGCCACTGTCTGACAACACTGACCACTGTCTAACAACACTGACCACTGTCTGACAACACCGACAACTGTCTGACAACACTGACCACTGTCTCGCAACACTGACCACTGTCTGACAACACTGACCAGTGTCTGACAACACTGACAACTGTCTGACAACACTGACCACTGTCTCGCAACACTGACCACTGTCTAACAATACTGACCACTGTCTGACAACACTGATCACTGTCTGACAACACTGGCCACTGTCTGACAACACTGACCACTGTCTCGCAACACTGACCACTGTCTAACAATACTGACCACTGTCTGACTACACTGACCACTGTCTCCCAACACTGACCACTGTCTCAAAACACTGGCCACTGTCTGATAACACTGACCACTGTCTCACAACACTGGCCACTGCCTCACAACACTGACCACTGTCTCGCAACACTGGCCACTGTCTCACAACACTGGCCACTGTCTGACAACTCTGACCACTGTCTCACAACACTGACCACTGTCTCCCAAAACTGACCACTGTCTCACAACACTGGCCACTGTCTGACAACACTGACCACTGTCTCACAACACTGGCCACTGTCTCACAACACTGACCACTGTCTGACAACACTGGCCACTGTCTGACAACACTGACCACTGTCTCACAACACTGGCCACTGTCTCACAACACTGACCACTGTCTCGCAACACTGGCCACTGTCTAACAATACTGACCACTTTCTGACTACACTGATTACTGTCTCACAACACTGGCCACTGTCTCACAACACTGACCACTGTCTCACAACACTGACCACTGTCTCGCAACACTGACCACTGTCTGACAACACTGACCACTGTCTCACAACACTGACCACTGTCTCACAACACTGACCACTGTCTCACAACACTGACCACTGTCTGACAACACTGACCACTGTCTGACAACACTGACCACTGTCTCGCAACACTGACCACTGTCTGACAACACTGACCACTGTCTCACAACACTGACCACTGTCTCACAACACTGACCACTGTCTCACAACACTGACCACTGTCTCACAACACTGACCACTGTCTCACAACACTGACCACTGTCTCACAACACTGACCACTGTCTCACAACACTGACCACTGTCTCACAACACTGACCACTGTCTCACAACACTGACCACTGTCTCACAACACTGACCACTGTCTCACAACACTGACCACTGTCTCACAACACTGACCACTGTCTCGCAACACTGACCACTGTCTAACAACACTGACCACTGTCTAACAACACTGACCACTGTCTCACAACACTGACCACTGTCTCACAACACTGACCACTGGGTTTTGTTCAGTATTAATAATAATAATAATAATAATAATAATAATAATAATAATAATAATAATAATAATAATAATAATAATTATTATATATTTCAACAAGTACGTGATACAACTTGTACATACCATAGCTCACATCAGTGACATATTATATAGAAAGTTCCTGGTTATGTCGAGCATTTCCCGCAACTTAGGTTAATTTTGTCCCCAGGATGCAACCCACACCGGTCCACTAACACCCAGGTACCTACTTACTGCTAGGTGAACAATATTTGCTTCATAATTTATTTAAATACACACATCCCCTAGTGTAATAAACCTGCCTAATTATAATTAGAACGTTTATGCTTAATGGTTTAACCTTCCTGAATCATCAGGAGGGTTTAATAAGAACTTAGGTTTACCCTTGGTGGTTTAACATTGTTGTGGTAACTCGCTTGTCATTGCTTGCGTATACCACTGGCTGAGTAAGTCCCACTGTGAAATCCACTGCAATGCCAGATGTGATAGTTATGAGAGTCATTATAAAGGCTATAATGACACTTACAAAAGCCTTGACAAGTATAATGACAGCTGTACACGTATACAAATATGCAATAAGATCACATAAACAGGTGATATCAGAATACGCAAAACAACTACTGTGAACGAATAATGATATTACAGTTCCTTGATAATGTGAGAAGTCGCGAAAGCGCTTGGAATTTCACTATTCTATCACAGTGGTTTTTTTTTGTATACAAATATGTATACCTGGAGTATACTTACCTGGAGTTTACCTGGAGAGAGTTCCGGGGGTACAGTTATGACACCTATAATGAGATGACAGCTATATTGACAGTTATGACAGCTATAATGACATGACAGCTATATTGACAGTTATGACAGCTATAATGACAGTTATGACAGCTATAATGACAGTTATGACAGCTATAATGACAGTTATGACAGCTATAATGATAGTTATGACAGCTATAATGATTGTTATGACAGCTATAATGATTGTTATGACAGCTATAATAGCAGTTATGACAGTTATGACAGTTATGACAGCTGTAATGACAGCTATGACAACTATAATGACAGTTATGACAGCTACAATGACAGTTATGACAGCTATAATGACAGTTGTGACAGCTACAATGACAGTTATGACAGCTATAATGACAGTTGTGACAGCTACAATGACAGTTATGACAGCTATAATGACAGTTATGACAGCTATAATGACAGTTATGACAGCTACAATGACAGTTATGACAGCTACAATGACAGTTGTGACAGCTACAATGACAGTTATGACAGCTATAACGACAGTTGTGACAGCTATAATGACAGTTATGACAGCTATAATGACAGTTGTGACAGCTATAATGACAGTTGTGACAGCTATAATAGTCGTGACAGCTATAATAACAGTTATGACACCTATAATGACATGACAGCTATAATGACAGTTATGACAGCTATAATGCCAGTTGTGACAGCTATAATGACAGTTATGACAACTATAATGTCAGTTGTGACAGCTATAACGACAGTTATGACAGCTATAATGACAGTTATGACAGGTATAATGACAGTTGTGACAGCTATAATGACATGACAGCCATAATGACAGTTATGACACTTATAATGACATGACAGCTATAATGACAGTTATGACACCTATAATGACATGACAGCTATAATGACAGTTATGACAGCTATAATGACATGACAGCTATAATGACAGTTATGACAGCTATAATGACATGAGAGCTATAATGACAATTATGACACCTATAATGACATGACAGCTATATTGACATGAAAGCTATAATGACAGTTATGGCAGCCATAATGACAGTTGTGACAGCTATAATGACATGACAGCCATAATGACAGTTATGACACCTATAATTACATGACAGCTATAATGACAGTTATGACACCTATAATGACATGAAAGCTATAATGACAGTTATGACAGCTATAATGACAGTCATGATAGTTATAATGTCAGTTTTACTGAAAAATCATTATTTCCTATAACACAAACGGAAGATTTTTTTACACAGTTTCTGATGTTTTTCTCCCCGAAAAAAGGGATTTTTTTTTCATCTTGAAGTTAGAGGGAAATAAAGAAAAAGGCAGTTCATAGTAATTTCGCCCGAATGTTATGGTGACCCAAGGCTCACTCAGCCGGAACACTACACTGACGGACGTAGAAACAAAATCTCCGCATGGAACTTTTCCCATGGGGGTAATTTCTGGGAAACTTTGTAGAGGATTATATGTTAAGTAGCCTATAGGAAAGAAGTGGGGGTGAGCTGGGAAAATCTTGAGTGTGAGAGAAATGGATTTTTTTGTCATGTGGGTGTAAAAGTGTGCAGTACGAGAGTGTGGGCGACGGAACCACAACATTGGCCCTGGGTAGCTGCTGGCTGTTTAGTGTTACTTCAGGTGAGGTAGTGGTAGTGTATACGCTTGCTGGCTCGCTCGTGCTGGGATTCCTTCGTCTATCATTGTGCTATAATTCATACCAGATCATATAATTCATATCCCAGCTGGGTTGTGACGTTATCACTCACCACCGTGTCACAAGTAACGCGTTACTAATAAGGTGAGTTACTCTTTTGTCAACAAATAAATAAATTATATATATATATATATATATATATATATATATATATATATATATATATATATATATATATATATATATATATATATATATAATTATATATTTCTACTATCAGTGTATTTTTTAAGCCTTGTATATCATGTTATGTAATTTAATATACTTATTTAAAATAATAGATATGGTGGCAGGGAATATTTAAATGGCTGTAGGAAGAAAAAATATTTTTTCTTTAAGCCTTTTAATGTACTACTTAGAGGCTGTAGCTCCCTGAATTATATATATATATATATATATATATATATATATATATATATATATATATATATATATATATATATATATATTAACACGCGAGCACATAGAGAGACAGGGTCAGGAACTGCGACTCGACCCCTGCAACCACTTATAGGTGAGTAAATGAAGGTGATTACACACACAGGTGAGTACACACACACAGGTGAGTACACACACACAGGTGAGTACACACACACACACACACACACACAGGTGAGTACACACACACACACACACCACAGGTGAGTACACACACACACACACACACACACAGGTGAGTACACACACACACACAGGTGAGTACACACACACACACAGGTGAGTGCACACACAGGTGAGTGCACACACACACACAGGCGAGTACACACACACACACACAGGCGAGTACACACACACACACACACACACACACACACACGCGAGTACACACACACACACACACACAGGCGAGTACACACACACACACACAGGCGAGTACACACACACACACACACACACACACACGCGCGAGTACACACACACACACACACACACACAGGTGAGTACACACACACACACACACACACACAGGTGAGTACACACACACACACACTCACAGGTGAGTACACACACACACACACTCACAGGTGAGTACACACACACACACACACACACAGGTGAGTACACACACACACACACACAGGTGAGTACACACACACACACACACACACACACACACACACACACACAGGTGAGTAGACACACCCACAGGCGAGTACACATACACAAACAGGTTACTAAATACACACGCTCACACAGGTGAGAACACACACACACACAACACGTAAGGGACACTACAAGAGAGGAGAAAATGAACCAGCAAGGCTGGACTTAGTCTTCACCTTGAGTAGTGCAGATATCGAGGACATCACACATGAAAGACCCCTTGGGGCCAGCGATCATGTGGTTTTAAGCTTCGAATACACAGTAGAGCTACAAGTGGAGGGAGAAGCAGGAAGGCCAGGACGAATGAAGCCAAACTACAAGAAAGGGGACTACACGGGAATGAGGAACTTCCTGAACGGGGTTCAGTGGGACAGAGAACTGGCAGGGAAGCCAGTTAATGAGATGATGGAATATGTAGCAACAATGTGCAAGAAGGCTGAGGAGAGGTTTGTACCCAAGGGTAACAGGAATAATGAAAAAGCCAGGATGAGCCCATGGTTCACCCAAAGGTGCAGGGAGGCAAAAACCAAGTGTGCTAGGGAATGGAAGAAATATAGAAGGCAAAGGACCCAGGAGAATAAGGAGAGCAGTCGTAGATGCAGAAACGAATATGCACAGATAAGAAGGGAGGCCCAAAGACAATATGAAAATGACATAGCAGCGAAAGCCAAATCTGACCCGAAACTGTTATACAGCCACATCAGGAGGAAAACAACAGTCAAGGACCAGGTAATCAGGCTAAGGAAGGAGGAGAGACTACAAGAAATGACCGTGAAGTATGTGAGGAACTCAAGAGATTCAAAGAAGTGTTCACAGACGAGACAGAAGGGGCTCCAGAAAGACGGAGAGGTGTGGCACATCACCAGGTGCTGGACACGGTACACACAACCGAGGAAGAAGTGAAGAGGCTTCTGAGTGAGCTAGATACATCAAAGGCAATGGGACCGGATAACACTTCTCCATGGGTCCTGAGAGAGGGAGCAGAGGCGCTATGTGTACCCATAACAACAATATTCAATACATCTATCGAAACGGGGAGATTGCCTGAGGCATGGAAGACAGCAAATGTAGTCCCAATCTTTAAAAAAGGAGACAGACATGAAGCACTAAACTACAGACCAGTGTCACTGACATGTATAGTATGCAAAATCATGGAGAAGATTATCAGGAGAAGAGTGGTGGAACACCTAGAAAGGAATGATCTGTTAGGTGATGGACTGATTACATCGTCTTCAAGTATCTTCTGCTTCTATAAACTTTTCTGTACTCGACTGAAGAAGCCTACTGTGTAGGCGAAACGTTTCGAAATAAAGATACCTATCTGTTGCATATGTGTCTTACCTAACAACCTGTCGGTATTTTATACCATTTTAATGTTCAAGGAATGATCTCGTTAACAGCAGCCAACATGGTTTCAGGGACGGGAAATCCTGTGTCACAAACCTACTGGAGTTCTATGACATGGTGACAGCAGTAAGACAAGAGAGAGAGGGGTTGGTGGATTGCATATTCTTGGACTGCAAGAAGGCGTTTGGCACGGTTCCACACAAGAAATTGGTGCAAAAACTGGAGGACCAAGCAGGGATAACAGGAAAGGCACTACAATGGATCAGGGAATACTTGTCAGGAAGACAGCAGCGAGTCATGGTACGTGGCGAGGTGTCAGAGTGGGCACCTGTGACCAGCGGGGTCCCACAGGGTCAGTCCTAGGACCAGTGGTGTTTCTGGTATTTGTGAACGACATGACGGAAGGAATAGACTCTGAGGTGTCCCTGTTTACAGATGACGTGAAGTTGATGAGAAGAATTCACTCGATCGAAGACCAGGCAGAACTACAAAGGGATCTTGACAGGCTGCAGACATGCTCCAGCAATTGGCTCCTGGAGTTCAATCCCACCAAGTGTATAGTCATGAAGATTGGGGAAGGGCAAAGAAGACCGCAGACGGAGTACAGTCTAGGGGGCCAGAGACTACAAACCTCACTCAAGTAAAAAGATCTTGGGGTGAGTATAACACCAGGCACATCTCCTAAAGTGCACATCAACCAAATAACAGCTGTAGCATATGGGCGCCTAGCAAACCTCAGAACAGCATTCCGACATCTTAATAAGGAATCGTTCAGGACCCTGTACACCATGTACGTTAGGCCCATATTGGAGTATGCGGCACCAGTTTGGAACCCACACCTAGCCAAGCACGTAAAGAAACTAGAGAAAGTGCAAAGGTTTGCAACAAGACTAGTTCCAGAGCTAAGAGGTATGTCCTACGAGGAGAGGTTAAGGAAAATCAACCTGACGACACTGGAGGACAGGAGAGATAGGGAGGACATGATAACGACATACAAAATACTGAGAGGAATTGACAAGGTGGACAAAGACAGGATGTTCCAGAGATGGGACACAGTAACAAGGGGACACAGTTGGAAGTTGAAGGCACAGATGAATCACAGGGATGTTAGGAAGTATTTCTTCAGCCACAGAGTAGTCAGTAAGTGGAATAGTTTGGAAAGCGATGTAGTGGAGGCAGGATGCATACTAGGCGAATACACACACACACACACACACACACACACACACACACACACACACACACACACACACACACACACACACACACACACACATACACACAGATGAGTACAAATACACACACACACACACAAAGGTGATTACACACACACAAGGTGAGTACACACACAGGTGAGTACACACACACACACCCAGGTGAGTACACACACCCAGGTGAGTACACACACCCAGGTGAGTACACACACACAGGTGAGTACACACACAGCTGAGTACTCACAGGTGAGTACACACATAGGTGAATACATGCACACGGTGAGTACACACACACACAGGTGAGTACACACACACGCACAGGTGAGGACACACATGCACAGCTGAGTGTACACACGTACACACACACACACACACACACACACACACACACACACACACACACACGTGAGGACGCACACACACACAGAGGTGAGGACACACAAGTGAGTACACACACACAGGTGAGTGTACACACACACACAGCAACACACACACAGGTGAGAACAGTAGTACTAGCAGTAGTGGTAGGAGGATGGGGAGAGAGCCTTCTGTTATACTATCCTCACCTCAACTTTGTAGACAAAATTAGTGAGAGCTTTGACGTAGTACGTCTTTTTCATTATGTTCCCACAATAACCTGTGTCTTCCACGGCTGCCTCACGTCAGGCAAATTTCAAGGAGAATGGTTCACTTTTGAAGGTCAGGGAATTTGAAATCTTATGAGGAGGAGGGGGGGCATCCCTCAGGGAAGGTTCCTTGATGCTGGTGAGGAGATCTTGATCTGGGGAATTGGATCTGTGCATGTTAGAAGCCTAGAGAAGCCTTGTGGAGCTCATATGTACTTTAGAGGTCGTGATGGCAGCCTTAACTATTAATAGATAATTAGGTTGGAGCGGTGTGAGAATTTTCACACTGGTTAGGTGAACCTGGATCCGACATGAGGTAAAGACGTTTTCTGTTTGGTACAGACTTTGAACTGGGCATCATGGGTAAAAGGGCCCCTATAATTCTCCTCTTGTGGGAGTTAACCACGAGAAAGTTGCGTTGACTATGAAGATCGTGACCAGGAGTCCACCCAGAGACTCGCGGAGTCCACCCAGAGACTCGCGGAGTCCACCCAGAGACTCGCGGAGTCCACCCAGAGACTCGCGGAGTCCACCCAGAGACTCGCGGAAGTCACACCAGAGACTCGCGGAGTCCACCCAGAGACTCGCGGAGTCCACCCAGAGACTCGCGGAGTCCACCCAGAGACTCGCGGAGTCCACCCAGAGACTCGCGGAGTCCACCCAGAGGCTCGCGGAGTCCACCCAGAGGCTCGCGGAGTCCACCCAGAGGCTCGCGGAGTCCACCCAGAGGCTCGCGGAGTCCACCCAGAGGCTCGCGGAGTCCCCAGAGGCTCGCGGAGTCCACCAGAGGCTC